TATTATTGAAATTTATCGCTAACAACTCACAGACACCTACTGTATACTGTCCTATAAAAACCTGACAAACAGGAATTTCAACACTAAATTCAATGTGCAAAAGAAGTTTTATGCTGGTTACACTTGCATAGCTTTTTTAACATTATCTATGTGTGTACTATTTACAGATAAAACTGCCATCTTAGGGAAAAACTCATGTGATGAGTGTCTAGAAGGTTCATGAAGAGACGAGTGCATTCTAGACGCCATCTATTCTTGTATATAAGTGCGACAAATAAAGCAAGATAATTAATTGGATAGCAGACTGGGGAGATATAGAGACAGATAATCGAGTCAAATCATAAGTAAAGTGTGTGAATCGTTGTGAATTATAGCGTGTGTTTAAGTTAAAGTGACTGTGGAAATTCTGTGTATTGCAATGTTGTATTGAGAAAGAATAAACTAGTTGTAATTAAGAAAGGATTTGTATCACTGAAGTTTCTTGGAAAGAATTTTTACGGGAAATTATCAAACAAGCAGATACGTAACACTTTTTTAACATTATCTATGTGTGTACTATTTACAGATAAAACTGCCATCTTAGGGAAAACTCTGGTAGATAATTTTAGGTTCTAATTTACAGAAAATATCCCTGTTTTTGGATGGGTAACATGCTCTCAGTGTGGGGACAACTCAATTCTGACGGTACCTTTCCTTGTCTTGTATGTTGATATTTCAAAGCATCATATTATGAGCTGCAGTCGTCAGAATACTCGCAAATGTGCTTTGAAAGCACAAGTAACAAAATTGTATGTTACTAACAAGCCTCTTCACCACAGACTGAACCAAGAATTAGAGGTTAAAAGGATTAACTATAGAGAGAATAGTGCAAACACTGTATTCTATCATTTTGACCAGGCTGGCAATGAAAATATAATTGAAGGTAATGTAGCTGATGCACAAAGTTTGCAAAATGTGGACAAGTTAATATATCTTGCAGGTTAGCTGTTGTAATGACATAACGTACTTCTTGATATAAAAGTCAAAAGGAATACAGCATTTATTATTCTCTGACCTATATACTGGATATGTGCATTAATTTTAATTGATAAGGTATCAGTGATATTTTATATTCTTTGCTTTCTTAGAGCAAAATTTTTTTCAAAATTCCAAGAAAGTTGATAAAAATATTCTAAATAGTTTCTGCTTTAAAAATTCTTCAAATTTAATATTTATAGAATTTTTCAGGTTGTGAATTTTCCATTATTTTTTGTCAAGTAATAGAAATACTTTCGTTTCTCCTAAACTGTTTTTAATGATAGTTAGAAAGTTATATACAGGGTGTCCTAAAAGTCTGGAGCCATAGGCACTTCAACTTGTAATTCAAAACAAGTTTGGATTAACTTGACATTTTTGTGCTTTGAAAGTACTTAACCAGTCCTGTACCTGAAATTCAAAAAAGCTACCAATCGTGTATGGTTTCAGATTTTTTGGACACCTTATATATCCAATCAGTTTTAAGGTTTTTGATAGTAAATAATGTAATTTATTTTATACATTTTGCCAATTGATGCAGTTAACTCTTCACTAGGGTGCTTCATTATAATGGACCTCACCCATTTTCAGCATTTTCAAAAACATTACTAATTTCCAGTGGACATTGTTGTTTTCTCAATTACAACACATTAGAGTTTACAATTGTCTTTTCTGATTGTTATTAGGTTTACACACTATCCTATTCCAAAGGGACTGTGTATAGTCTAATGGTTAGTGTGTTTGGTTTATGAAACCAAGAGTTCATAGCTATTACTGCAAAATGTTGCTTTGCATTTTGAATCCTTGGGTTCATTAGAATGGTGAGAACGGTGGGTTTAGGGAAATGGAAAGAAGTAGCCACATTCACCTGTGACAAACAGTTACCAAAGGCACTGAAAGCCAAAGTGTATAAGACCATAATTAGACCAGTCCTCCTCTAAGAAGCTGAAACCTGGACCCTGAAGAAGAAAGAAGGCTTGTTGATAACAACAGAAATGAGAATGTTGAGATGGTTGTTGGGAGTGTTGCTGAAAGAGAAGAGAATGAATAAGGAAATAGCAAGAGTCTGGGGAATAGAGGAAAAGCTTGCAGAAGTGAGTCTGAGTTGGATTAGTGATGTGAAAAGAAGAGTATAAGCAATAAGGAGAGCATTAGAACTGCTAACAGCAGGCAAGAGAAGACAGGGAAAAGGCTAGTAAAGCTTTAGACAGGTAGGACTAAAAAAGATATGAATGGTAAAGGAATTGCAGTAAGACCTGGCAATGAATAAAGATGACTGGAAGAGGGCAACACGTGAAGGATAGTAACCCCTGCTAGAGAGAAAAGCTGAAGAAGAAGATTGTAATGGTGATGATCCAATAATTTTATTCAGTCAGACAAGAGCAGCCTAAGAATTAGCAGTGTGTGATGTTGATTAGCTAGTTGCCTTTCCTGTACTGTATCAGTTCCCTCTCTTATAGTCTACTTTGATTGTCAAAGCCTATATGCCTACATCCCAAGTCACAGTGGTATTCCTGAAAAGAAAATGGTGGTTAGGTTTGCTAAAGCAGCATTATCTGCACATTCTCTTCCTTCCTCATCCTCCTGAACAGTAAGCTTAATCTTTTATGATTTCAATCCTGTATTAACTGTTTAGTTAATCACATTATGTTTTGTCATTATTTTGCTCATTTCATGAGATTTTTACTGTTTTGAGGCCTCGGTGCTATCTGTTGTTTTCTTTACTGTACCTGAGAGCCTGCCATGAAATTTTACACTACACACAAGTGAACAGGCATACTCCACGTTTTTGTATATTGCACCATTGTCCATAAAATGCATTGAACATATTTAGTTGTCTGAATATGGTATTCCATGCTATTATCTTAAACATACTTTCTCTGTGTGGTTCTAATGTAACACCCTGTGCTGTTTTCACTGTTACTAATGCTGTCTCATGATTCCTTGAAATATACCCCTTCTTTGAGTGTATTTGTATTTTGTTTTATATATATACAGAATGTCCATTTATTAGACTTAGAATTAGATGTCTTCAAAACATCCACTAACCAACAAAGAATCAAAATAATATTCAACAATCTTATAATGTGAGAGTTGTGTACCTAAAGGCTCACAATTGTGATCTAAATTTAATATAAATTACATTGATAGGTCTGAACTGCTGAAAGTGAAATTTACACACAAATTTCATATTAAACTCTCATGCATTCCACAGTTAAGCTTATCAAACATCCTGGGATTCAATGCAGTTGAACATTAAACATTGAATATTATGCAATCTTCATACATCAAGTAATTTATTTAATTTCTTGACTATTTTATTTCAGAGTTTCAGTGTTTAAATTTGTTTAGGTAGAACTTTAGTTATCTGTTAATTTTCTTTATCTTAAAATGCATTGATGGTTAGAAACACTTTAAGCAGTGTGGTGTAAAATGCTTCTTTGTAACAAACATCAGAGTACTTAGGAATATAAAATGTGGTTATATAGTTTATATTATTGGTTTTTACCCATATGTGATATAACTTAATTCAGCTATATTACATTTATGTTATGATTTTAAATAAAATGTAGTTTTACATGTGCATAACCCCATAATTAAGTATAACTCAAAGTAATGAAGTATATTAGATATTATGATAGCAATTTCTATTGTAAAAAGCTTAAGTAAAGGATGGTAAGAACAGTCCTAGACCACAGACTGCAACAGACATTTTAGAGACCCTATACTGTATAAATATATTGTCTGCCCAGTCCATTTTCAAGCAGACCAAAAACACAAAAATAGAGCTGCATAAAGAACTGACAGGTATATAGTCAAATGGAATTGTTTCCAGTCTCTTTGGTCATCTTTCTTAAGAGAACAGCTGCTATTTTGAGGTATGACTGACAGCTTGTGAAACGTCATTGATGTTATATAATTTTTTAGTGGGAGGATTCACTTTCATAATCTTAAACTTCAGTTTGTGCCCTTTACTGTTCTCATTGTTCAGCTGTGCAAGTTTTTCACTTCTGTGGAAGACACTGAATGTTCTGTGTTTGTGGTGTTCGGTCTTACATCATTTACAAATCTCAGTATGCAAAGAACTTTAGTAATTAATTAAGTTATTTGTGGTAAATAGCACAGAGTTTCACATTAAATGATTATATGTTAAAATGTCACCACGATATGCCTCTATATTAGCATGTAAAGGTTAATCATATAAAGTGCATTTAGCATCCATTGCTACACAAAAACAAATCTTGCTGTGTACTTTCAGTCTGTGAGTGACAGTCAAAGTCTGATATTTGATTAGAGTTTTCCAACAATTGGAGTTGGATGATTTTTATTAGCTGCCTTCCTTCTAGTCTCTCAGCTCAAATTTAACGAGACTCCTTGTACATATAGTCTGTATATAGCTTTCCACAAATATCCAAAACAAGCATAACTAATCTTTCATGAATGGGTACAATTACTGATAAGAATATATTGTTTGCAAAGTATCAACATTTTTTTCAGTTTACACTATGTACTTGGAGAAGAAAGAAATGATAAAAAAATGATTATATCAGTATTGAGGGATATAAGTGCATTATTACAGAAATTTGAAATACAAGATTTTTTTTTGCACAGGATGGTGATGAATATTTTCATTGACATTTAATTTCATTTTTTGTACAAACACTTAAAAACTCTCCTTAATAATTTTCATTTATTATTATGTAATTTTATTGTAATAAATATTGTTTTACTTCACTATAGTGGTGGTAATGGAGTAAAATTGTTACTCTGTTTCTCACTTGTTCTTATGGAAGATTTACGATATAAATTTTACTTTGAACTTTGTGACCTTAATTTTGCAGAATGCGGAAGTCTCATTTTCTTATGAGTTTTATAACTATTCATTCTTCAATTAATTTTAACTTTCTGTTAATTCTTCATAAAGTTTGAAAATTATTTAAAGATTAAACAACAGTTTTCATTGTTTCTTTATCATTATTTCCCAGAAAGTGAAAAGTATGAAGAAGGACAGCGTGTTTCACGTTTACCCACCCAAATGGTAAATATTTACAAAACTTTTATTTTACAGTTTTGGCAACTGATGACAATATTATTGATACAAAAGTATCATTAAGTAATAATATTTAATAGTGTTTTTTATATTAAATAATGATACTTAGTAGTGTTTTTTACAATATACCTTTCAAACATAATCAATACTTAAACTGTTAAAATTTAATGAGTCAATGGCTCATTGGAAAACCCCAAAGTTTCCAAGATTTAACTATCAGCCTTTTCTTCAATTCAAAATTATCAACAGCTAGCACAGATAGTCCTTGAGTAATCTTGCAAAATTATTTGAAGGAAAATAACAAGTAAAGAATTTTTAGAAGAAGAAACTGAAAAGTTTCAAGAATAAATAAATTTACGACATTTGAACTTTGGCATTTGATTTTAAATTAAGATAATCCATTCTGTTATATTTTTTCATTTAACTGTCACATATCTCAAGCAGTTGGAGAATGAAACGAGTGTTCATGCTATTCCACACAAAAACATACTGATCAATGTGCTGGATACAGCAGCTCTAAACTTATACATGATTGGACAATTGAAACAGGTGCTGGGCAATCATAGTCCTTATACACTAGATGAATTATGTAAAATCTCAGGAAGGAGTGATATCTTTTTGGAATTGCAGCCTTACAATGAGGCTTCTTGCAGTGGAAACTATGCTGTAAGACTGTTGTTAAGATTCACAGTCATTAGATAGAGTATGGCCAGACATGGTGACATGAACTGTAACAAAGTGGTTAGACTTCAATAAACATTTTAAGATAACGTAGTCAAGTTCTATAATAAACCTTAAAAGAACCACATATTACATAAGCCTATTATTACCTTAGATGAATCTATATTTAGTAACTTGGTTCTGTGTAAAGTGAATCTGTTAAAATGTTTATTGTATGTTGATTGTTTTAAAACATTATACAGACAATCTAATAAAAAACAGTTTCCTGTTTATTTCAATAAATGTTACCTGATTATGAAACTTACATTTGATATTTAGCTTCTTCCACTGAATTCTGAAATTATACATACACTTTAACTGTAATCACTACATTTTTTTTGTTTTATCTTGCAGTAATAATGTTATTATATGTTTCATTTAAAAGATGTTTGTTTTAATTTTGGCTATTCGATTATGTTAAAATATTTCAACTCATTTTTTTAAAGAGTACAAATAATTAAGCAATGTTTTTTAGACAAATGGTTTACTTAACAATTTACAGATCATTTACAATTTAATGATGTATATTAGTTTAGATAGGAATTTTATTAAATTGTAAATATATATGACCAATTAGTTTCAAGACTAGCTATAGCTAAGTCTGAGTATGTTCTTAATATGAATGATCAAATATTTTGTTTAAATGGCCTGTTCTCTCTATCAATGATTTAAATGCAGTATGAATGGAGCTAGCTTGGGTTCCCCAAAAAAGTCATAAATAAGTATAATTCAGATCAATGTGTAATTTTAATTCATGTTCTGTATCATGTGTGTGACAGCAATGTACCATCTTATGAATAATGCAGACATTTTAACAACTACAAACTGATAAAACCTGCTTCTGTTCTAATCACTTTCTAACAAATAGAAACTGATATGCTTAGCAACTTCTATTTAACAACTTTCTTACAACTAGTAACCGGTATGTTTAACAACCTCATATTAAGCAAATTAGCTGTATTTTTCTTCTAACCACTTTTAATTTCAAAATTTAAATCTTTAATTTAGAAATGTTTTTGATACTTATTCTAAATATTTAGAACTAAAAATGTTCAAAGGCAATAAATGTTTTATCAAGTAATATAAAAGATATGAACCTGTTTGCTTTTAAAAAAAAAACAGTCTGTTTCTACATTCTAAATGTTTGTTGTATACAAATAATTATATTTTTCAGTTTATTGCTATATATGTTAATCAAGTCATTCCTCTCTCGGTAATTCGGCCCGGCATGGCCGGGTAGATAAGGCGCTCGACTCACAATCTGAGGGTCGCGGGTTCGATTCCGCATACTACCAACC